ATTCTAAGGGCTTTGGTTATACATCTGGGAGATAGTTGTTGCTGGGGTGTGTGTATATGTGTGTGTGGGGAGGGTAGATCCCTTTTCCATAAGGGTTATTTGATTGAATGATGGCTTTTGGGTCTAGGCTGGAAGCAAGGCAGGTGGCCTGGGGGGCACCAGTATTCTCAATAGCTTCATGTTTGTGCCTTATGCTCTAGCCAGCTAGGCTATTCACTGTTTCTTGAACATGAACAGGGCCAGAGGTCATAGCAGATTTAGAACTAGGCAGGACTTTAGAGATTATTTTTTCCTAACCCCTGAATTTACAAATGAGGAAACTGAGCTTCCCCATCCCCCATGAAGTGATTAGTCCAAAGTCACACAGGTAGTAAGTGGCAGAACCAGGAGTGGAATCTATGTCTTTTAACCTGGATCCAGTGCTCTTTCCATTATACCTCACTGCTTCTCATCCTTTCCCATTTATATTCAATATCTTTTTATGATCTTTCTGTGCCTTGCATTTGGAATGTCCTCTCCCTGTATCTCACATGCCAGCAAGGTTATGCTTAAGATTCTGTAAGCTAGGTTTCAGCAGTATGTAAACCAAGAATTACCAGAAATGTAGACTGATTTTCAAAGAGGCAGAGGAACTAGAGACCAAATTGCCAACATTTGATAGATTATGCAAAAAGTAAGGTAATGCCAGAAAAAAAATTATTATTCCTTCACTGACTACAGTAAAGCCATTGACTATGTGGGTCATAACAAAATGTGGCAAGTCCTCAAAGAGATGGAAGTACTAGATCATCTTACTTGTCTCCTGAAGAACCTGTAAGTAGGTCAAGAAGCAATAGTTAGAGCTGAATGTAGAACAACTGATTAGTTTAAGATTTAGAAAGAAGTATGACAAGGCTGTATATTGTCACCTTATTTATTTAATTTATATGCAGAATATATCATGTGAAATGCCAGGCTGGATGGATTAAAAGCCAGAATTAAGGCTGCTAGGAGAAATATCGATGATCTCAGATATGCAAGTGATACCTACCACTCTGATGGCAGAAAGTGAAGAATTAAGAAGCCTGTTGATGAGGGTGAAAGAAGAGAGTGAAAAAGTTGACTTGAAGCTTAACATTAAAAAAAAAACAACAACTTAAGATCATGGCAACTGGTTCCATCACTTCCTGACAAGCAGAGGGAGAAGAAATAGAAGCAGTGTGAGAATTTATATTTTTTGGCTCAAAGATCACTGCATATGGTGATTGCAGTCATGAAATTAAAAGATGCTTGTTCCCTGGCAGGAAACCTATGGCAAATCTGGACAGCATACTAAAAACCAGTGACATCACCTTGCCAACAAAGGTCCATATATAGTTAAAGCTATGGTTTTTTTTTTTTCCAGTAGTAATATATCATTATGAGAGTTGGACTATAAGGAAAGCTGAGCACCACAGAATCAATGCTTTTGAACTCTGGTGCTGAGAGTACATTGGACAGTAAGGAGATCAAATCAGTCAATACTTCAAATTAACCCAGTCTATTCTTTGAAAGGACAAATACTGAAGCTGAAGCTTAAATACTATGTCCACATAATGAGAAGACTGAACTCATTAGAAAAGACCCTAATTTTGGGAAAGATTAAAGACAAAAGGAGAAGGGGATGACAGAGGATGATTAGATAATGTCATGGAAGCAATGAAATGAGCTTGGACAGACTCTGGGAGAAGGGCCTGGCATGCTATGTATGCTAGTATGCTATCCATGAGGTCACAAAGAGTTGGGGACACGACTGAACAACAACAGCTCCCTGAATCTCTGTGGGTTGAAATCCTACCTTTTCCTTCAAGTTCTAGTTCAAATGATACTGCATTCTAGCCTACTTTCATTGATCCTACCAAACAGAAGAGGTACCTTCTTCCCCTAAACTCATACGGACCTTTCTACTTTACCACTGAAGCTCAGCTGCCTTCTCACTCTGGAAGTTCCCTTTCCCCTTGAGGTCTTCTCATTGGAATATCCCTTCTCTCCAATGACCTCCTCCCATTGATAAATTCCTCCTAGAAACTTTATTTTGAGAAAGGGTCCAGGTTAATTAGCCTTCCTTTCTCTCCTAGCTCCTCTTCTGATTTTCCACACTTCAGCACCATGCCCCACTTGCTTCTTTATGTGTTGTCTTTCCCCATCAGAATGTAAACTCCTTGAGCATGGGGTAGGATCTGTCTTTCTTTTTTGCTTGCATGCGCATCCTTGGCACTTAGAATAGTGCCTGGCACATAGTAAGTGCTTAATAAACACTTCTTAACTTAACTCCCCTCCTTTACTTATAACACCCTACTTTGTATTGTTATGTGAGTATGATTCATCCCTCTTACTGAACTGAAAGATCCCTGAAGGCAGAGGTCATATCTTATTCGGCTATATATATATATATATATATATATATATACACACATATACATATATATATATGTATATATGTGTATATATATATATGTATATATGTGTATATATATGTATATATGTATATATGTGTATATATATACATACACACTATATATGTATATATATACGATATATATATATGTATATATTCCATAACACCTAGTTTGACTGCTGATGTACTTCATGGTAGGTACCCAATAAATGTTTAATGAATGAATGAAATGATACCTCAAAATAGAAGTATAAGCAACACATGATAAAATTTTGATTTTTTTTTCTTCAGAAGACAGGGTTTGGTTTAGAATGGAAACATAAAGAAATGATATTCTGCTCTTCTTGCAGGAACTCATCATCTGCTACAGATATGATCTAATTTATCCATACAATAGCTTTGTAAAGAAGGTAAGGGGGACATTGGTTCCATTTAACTAACTGGGAAACATTTCACAAAAAGATGACTTGATGTGCCCAAGGTCACAGAACTGAGTTGGTGGTGGTGCCAGGAAGAGAGAAGCCAGATGTCATGATGAGTTTTTTCAATTGAAACACATCTTCTCTCACACCTTGATGTATTATACACATCTAATGCTATTAAGTGAGACAGTAGAATCTGAGAGGTTTTTAGACAGTTAAGATTTATAAGGGCTCTTAGAGATCATCTCATCCAACACTCAGTTTACAGGGGAGGGAACTGAAGACCAGAGAAGGGGAGTGACTTGTGTCAGTCAGTTCCTGGCAGAGCCAAGATTAGAACCTGGGTCTCCTATCTTCTAGTATAAATATCATTCATACTTTGCACTATACTTTGTTACCTATAGAAGCAAAATAGGCATGGGATCTGTCCTGGACACATACCTTATACCCTCAAAGGAAGGGCTTCTTTCCTAAAATAAAGGAGTTTCTTACTGGAATGTGGAGTCAGGTTTTAAGGGAAAGAGGGATGATAGATAGTTCTTTTCCTCCTTTATCACTTTCGTGTGCATTGTGACTGGGGAGCAGGGGCTTCTGAGCATTAGAAGCAAGGAAATCACCAGCTCCCATTAACAATATAATTAGGAATGGGCTCCTCGGTGGGGGTTGTGTGGGGGAGTTTAGCCCCTCTGGGTAGAGAATAGGCCTTATAGCCTGAAATGATTTTTCCAGCCCACAGAGCAGTCTACCTGCCCTTCATAGGATAGTGGGATTTAGACACGGAAGGAACCTTAGAAATCATCTAATCATCTTTTTTTATTTTACAGATGAGGAAACTGAAGTCCATAGAAGTACTTGGGCAAGATCTCACAGATACTAAGCAGCAGAGTCAAGTTTTCTGACTCCAAATCCGGTGCTCTTTCTACTGTGAGTTCTCAGTACTTGACCCTCCCTGCAAAACCCGGTAATTTTGCAAGGCACTGTAGAATACACGAAAGAGCACTGGACTTGGAGCTAGAACACCTGAGTTCAAATCCAGCTCTGATTCTAACTACATGACTTTGGACAAGCCACTATGCTTCTTTGAACCTCAGTTTCCTTATCTGCTAAATACAGACGATGACGCTACTTGTACTATATTATAAAATTGTTGTGAGAAAAACACTGTATAAATAGCTTGAAAAGTGAATTGTGTTATTACTGTGAGGTGCTAATTCCCTGGGATCATGTAATGACTGCTTTCTGTTTAATGAAATTAGCCAGGGCTTTGGGCTCCCATCCATCCAAAACTGGGACATCCTTTGCCTTCTCAGAAGTGGCTGCATCTCCATCTCACGCCTTCGGTACATTCTCTGAATCCCGGAGCTGCATGAGTGTTTGGGGATACTGCAGGGACAGAACGACCTCCCTTTGGGAGGCAAACAGCAGCTGGGGCTGCTGACCCAGCGCTCCCCACCCCCCACCCCATTGTTCCGGCGTGGAAGAACGAAAGGGGGGTGTGTGTGTGGGAAGAGAAAAACACTTGACAGCCCCTACCCTAGGCCGAGCTGGCTAGTTTAAAGAAACAATACACTGCCTGCACCCAGGGTTAGAAAACAACGGACTTGGGGGTGCATCCTTTGTTTGCAGCCCGTACGCCCGGCAGGAAGGGAGGGAGCTCGCGCCCCGCTAGCTCGTTCGCTCGCTCAGCGAACAATGCAGCCGCAACCACCGCTGGCCGGGGATGCTAGAGCTCGAGCTCGCGCCTCCCCCTCCCGACGCTCTCCGCCTTCCTCTCCTCGCTCCCGGCCTCCTTTGATTGGTCGTCGGGGCACAAAGAGGTCGGGAAGCGGTGTCGTCACGTGGGCTGTAGTGGCCCACGATTGGTCGAGAGGGCTAGTCGATTCCGGAGAGGGGGCGGAGTCGTTCGTTACGTCGCTCTCCTCCCGGGCCCGCCCGCCCGCCGGCCCGGCCGGCCGCCTGTCAGAGGGAGGCGGAGGGCGGGAGGCAGGGATGGTGCGGCTGCGGGCGGCGGCGTCTCCGTCTCCTTCTCCGTTCCGGTCTCTCGACTTGACTCGTCTCGGCTGGATTCGTGGCCGGACGCCGCGCTTACCTCCAGCGCGAGCGCGCGAGTGACCGCCTGACTGAATGAATGACCGGCCGGGGCCGCCGCTGCCGCGCGCGCCATGAGGAGCCTGCCCAGCCTGGGGGGCATCGCCCTGCTCTGCTGCTGCGTGGCTGCCGCCGCCACCTCGGTCCCCGCCTCAGCCTCCGCCTCCCCCGCCGCCTCTGCCGCCGGGACGGTCCCGACCCCCGCGGGGGGACGGGACCGCGCCCCCTCGCCTCCCCCCTCCGGAGCCACCGACGCCGGCGGTGACGGGGAACGGGACCGGGGTGCTGAGAAGCAGGTGGAGGAGCCGGTCAGTCACGCCCCCATCACAGTCAGCGCGGCCGCCAGCCCAGCGGCAGAGGAGACCCCGGAGCTTGAGCCGGAGCCCACGCCCCTCAGGACCGAAGCCGCCCCCACGGACCCCGGCAGCTCCCTGACCACAGCCCCCCAGGTCCTGATCCCGACCCCAACTTTGATTCTGACTACGACGACCCAGACCGTGGCTGCGACCCAGACCCCGACCCTGACCTTGACCCGATCTGTGCTCTGGAACAGCCCCTCGCCCACCCCACCTGCGGACCAGCCTGGCCAGCCTGCCGGCCCCACGCCCAGAGGTGAGGAGCCGCCCCGCCCCACCCTCTCCTTTTCTCCCCTCCCCCTCTGGGGAGGAAGCTCCTGGCCTCCCTCCCCGCCCCAACTACGCCAGGTGTCACCCCATATTTTTACACTGGTGTTGCTACCCTCCCTAAAACAGGCTTAGAGCGGCCTTCCACCCCAAGATTATCTGAGTGCTGTCTTCAACCCCACTGCTAAAGGGCTATGGGAAAGCAAGGAGAAGAGGAGGTACTACTCCCAACCTTCCCCATGTTTCTCCGATCCCCAAAAGAAAGAGGTCTTGTGGAAGGACCCAAAGGAGTAACATCTTCCCGACCTTTCTTGCCTCTCTTTTAGTCCTAGTAAATGGTCTTGATTTTTTTTTTTTTTTGGAGTATCATTTATTATCTCTTGTCCCAAAAGCTTTTAAGGTGGTAATGATTTGAAAACCCAGGGGAACTTCGGTTTCGCCTGGGCCAACGTATAGTTTCACCCTTTCTGGGCCACTTACTCCTTGGTGAGGATGTGAAAGATGCAGGACATATATTCCCATCCTTAGTTCATACGCTTTTGTCTCAGACACTGAATCGGGGCAAACTTTTGGTTCATGAATTTTGACTGAGTTAGTGCTCTCTCTTTTCCAGAAATGGAAAAGATTATAAGAAGACCTTGCTTCGTTGGTGAAAAATTGTGTATCCAGGACCTCCAAAGCCCTCAATTTTCTTATTCTGTTGGCTTTTTTGTTTGTTTATTTATTTAAACTTTGGATCTGCATGTGACAGGTGGAGAAAACACTGAGAAAATCATGTTTACAAACAGTGGTAGAGACTACTCACAAAATAAAAACCATAAGGATCCAAGTTGTCCAATGACATGGATAGATCTTGTGTGATCCTTGTGCTGATTGTAGGGGAAATTACAGTACAGTATCTGGGTGAACACACTTTTTAAAAATAGGTTAAAAATCTTTTATGTTTTTTCTTTCCCTTCCTGCTTGCCTCTCTAACCACAAGTTTATCTAATTTGCTCTTTGGATGATTAGAAGTCTGAGCAGGAATCCACATTTTTCTAAAAACTTGGTTGTTTAGATTTTACTGTTGATGATAGTAGCTTATATTTTTAGTTTTGCATTTGTAAAGTGCTTTACATATATCACAAATGATATTTTCTCAATCCATGTTGTAAAAGAAATTTTCTTATGGTATTCAAAGAAGATATTCTAGAAACTTATTATTTAAAACATATTTTAAGATCATAGGTTCATGACTTTAGATCTGGGAGGGACATCAGAGATCATTTAGTCCAACCTCCTCCTGTTACAGACAAGAAACTGAGGCAAAGGAGTTTAAATGACTTGCCCGAGTTCCTGCAAGTAATGAACTTCATTTGATCTAGATCCAAGAATTGAATTTAAGTTCTCTGGTTTCTTGGCTAAGGTAGGAATGAAATTGAACAAGGCAGATAACTTTAAAGTTATTGTCCAAGACTACTTTTAAAAAGACTTTTTCTGAGCCCCTTCACTGCTAGTGCAGCTGTAGAATTATTTTTTTTTCATACTTTTGCCCTGTTTGAGTTTTTACCAGAGCTTATAAGCATATGACAGATCACGGTCTTGCCTTATATTTTTTGGGCATTATTCTAAATAGAATTATAAATTTTTATTCACCCCTGAGAATGATTTCTCTTTTTCAGTTTGTTGTATTCAAAGAGGGAGAATGATAAACTAGCTTAGACATTTTTATACAGCTTTTTGTTTTTCTGTATGCTTAGAGATGGATAACATTTTTGTATAAATGGTCCAACCTTGATCTTGGGTATGTATGAATTGTTAATCATCTGAAAAACCTGATAGATTTCACACTCTCCCCCTTTAGTAGAACTCAGATCTCTGGGTTTGAAAAGCACTTGCAACTAACTATAAAGCATTACATAAATAAAAGGTATTAACTATTATCAGCAGCCAAATGTAAACATTCAAGTGTCAAAAGAACTGGTTCCACGTCTGGGTTCTGCCACATACTCAATTTGTCTTTTCCAGACCTGTTTCCTTGGTTACAAAAATGGATACCCATATTAGGGCCATCAGGTTTGCAAAACACTTTACATATGCAATCTCATTTAATCCTCACTACCACCCTGTGAGATAGGAAAATGAGGCTGAAAAAGGTTAGTTAAGTGATTTGCCTAGGGTTACATAGCTAGCAAATATTCTGAGGCAGGATTTGAATTTGGGTTGAGCTGACTGCAAATCCAGTACTTTATCCACCATGGTACCTAAAAACCTCAAGTAAACGTCCTGTGAAGTTTATTACTATAGGATTTAAAGCTGATAGATATACTTTAGTAATTTAGCCCAACACCCCCATTTTACAGATGAGGAATCTGAGGCCCAGAGAGATGAAGTGACTTGCTCAAAGGTACATAGGTAAACAATATTCAATTTACTAAAACTGTGAATACTATTTACACAGTAAATTGTATAGCTATTATGTGAACCCATGTCCTCTCAATTTAGTTTTCTTTCCATTACTCTTGTGAAAGTACTGTGAAATACTTGTAGAATACTTGTGAAAGCGCTGTGTAAATATATAAACTATGACTGGTTAAATGAAAGTCCAAGTTTGGAAATTAAAAAAAAAAATCCAGTTTAATTAAAAATCATTTAAAAATTATGATGTTTTTATTTCTTTTGGTAAGTGGAATGGAATCAAGTAAAATGATTCAGTATTATCTAGAATATTAATACTCAATAGGCCCATAGCATGATTACCACAGATCATGAAGTAACCTAAGTCACATAAAACAAATCTTCAATAGCTCTCCTCTGCTTTAGAAACTATGCATTTCTGAGTAATTCATGCTGGAATAAGAACATGTAATTAACTCTTGATGCTGAAAAGACTTGGGTCAGGTTAACAGACTTAGTTCCAACTAGAGAGTAATGTAATCAGGTACTGACTTTTCCTAGGGAGAGAATACCAGAGATTGCTCAGTGGTCTGCTTTTAATAGGATAGCAGTTGCCTGCCCTTGCTTGAAGAGAAATCTTTGATTCAACTCAACAAAGCTAGTTTGGCTTGCAGTGTTTGTTTCTTTGGCTTCTGAGAAGATAGCTAAGGCTGGCATTTATTCCTGTTAGGGCTCACTGCCATTGGTAATATTCTTACAAAACTGTCTTTAGATTAGGTCTTAAGGCTGCATTTTGAATCAATGAAAGTTTCTTTCCTTTAAGCCTATAGCTGAGAGCTTCTCAGTTAGGGCCTCCTTTTATTTTCTGGGACACTGCTCTGCAAACTGAAACTAATTGCCCATCCAGCAGACACCATTCTCTTCCTACCAGCGCAAAACATCAGACTAGTTTGTACATTTGAGAAGGTGAAGTAGAAGGCTTTGATACTAGTAGACAATAATAATCATTAGGGTACCATTCAGGTCAGAGCAAGAAGATACTGATGCAATTATGAATGCTTGTATTCTGTGAACATGGAAGATCTTTCTATAGACAGAAATCTGAGGGCAAGTCAGAACAGATTATTGTGTCCTCATAGGAAGTGTGATTGCATAGATAAAAACAAAATGAATTTAGGTGGTATAGGAGTGAAGGTTAGAAAGTAGTAAGCTGTCAGAGTCCCTTTTCAAGTACCATGGTTCTTAGATTATTTGTAGGCCATTATTTAGGCCAAAGTCATTAAAATTGTTTATCTGTGACTTGAGTTACAAGAAAGAAATCAGTGTCTAAGCTGGGATTAGAGTTCCAGGGTTTGGAAACCTAAATAGTGTCATATGAGCATAGTATGGCAGAAACACTCAGATAATGAAAGAAAAGGTCTAAAAATGCAGGTCCTTTTTACCTGTGCTGTAATTGTTAATTTTATTCTAAAATTCCCTGCAACTTTGCTTTTGAGTCTCACTTGGCTAAGCTTTAGAAGAGGTCATCTACATTTAATAACTGAAAAAAATACGTTAAGGCCCTAGGAAACAAGGAGATAAAGAGCGTTCTGTGTTCTAAGGTACCTGCCAGCTCTCATGAAAACAAATTGTTATATGCAAAAGAGGAAGAAATTTGTATTGAAAACAATAGTGAATCTGAGTTTAATCTTTGAAATTTCTAGTGTTTTTCAGCTTTAGACCTTCTACAAAATAATTACCTCTACCAATTCTTTTCTGTTTGGGAATATTTTGTAGACTATAATGCCAAAAAAAAAATGCATGAATGCTTTTGGTTATCCTTTCAAGAGGTTCTATTGTGATCTGTGATGAATAAAAACATCATTTGTAGTCATCTTACTCTGGGTCAGGTTTAGTGTCCTTCCACAGCTATCTTCTGTGTCCCATCATTGACACAGGTGCACACAGCTCTTGAAATACTTCAATCTCCTGACCAGTTGTCAGAGTAGCATAACCAGCCTTGAGAAGCTACAGTCTTAAGTTTGATGAATCATGTTTCCAAGAGGGTTTGTGGGTAGCCCACAATCTACTACAAATATACGGGAAGAATATGACTGGGGCTTTAGTGTCTTGATTTTTCTTAAGATTAATAGAAATAAAGGGCTCACTACTTTAATCTCAGAATCTGTCACAAATATTAATTCATCTCCTGGCACCCTAGTAAAAAAGGAAAGAAAAATATTACTTTGCCTATTTTACTAATCAGCACAAGATATTACAGAACTTACTATTAGTAAATTTTGCACTGGCCAGTTTTAAGAGAGACAGAATTAAAATAAAAGCAAAAGATCTTACTTGTCTGAAAGACAGGAATATCAAATTGAGATGACTTTTTTTTTTAATGTGTTACGAACTTTTAATCAAATATATATCATTCTCTCTGGGCCTCAGTTTCTCCTTTATCAAATGTAAGGATTGGACTAGCTTCAGTTCAACAATTCAGCAAGCATATATGTGCACAATTCTATGCCGGGAGCTGAGGATGAAGAGAAAAAAAGACAAAATAGTCCCTGCCATCATGGAGCTTTTTGTCTACTGAGTAACCCCAATAGCTTTCTCCTTTGTATGTTCTGA